CAAACCATTTTCAAAACTTATTAGTGTACGAAGTTTTATTAAAATGACTCGAATGTCATTGCCTGTAGGTTGAACATGGGAGGACGACAACAAGCAGACAGACAAGCTTAGATCGGTATAATAGAAGATGGGTCTATATAAAGTCGTTTTAGTTGTTGCTTACATCCGTACAATCTTAATAAATCCTTGTATCGCAATTGGTGTAGAGTATATAAAAATAGTAACTTAAAATGGTGAATGAAATCCATAGATCATAATGAAAATTAGTCAATGGATGCAGCTAAGTCTTTCTTATTAACGGTGTTATGGTATGTAATAACACTTATGCTTAAACGACGCGAATTTATAAATTAATTTATGAAATCAATTTATGCCGCTTGGCTGCTACAAATATCCCGTAATACACATCTTCTATTTACCTCATAACCAAGTATACTTTGAAAAAAAAAATTTAATCAAATTCAAACGAATAATTAGTTTTCTGCTTATGCAAAAACGGGAAAAATCGGCCATGCTCTGAATATATTGGAAAAACATTACATGTTTCCAAACCACTATTTCGCGAAAGTATGTCATATGAGTAGGCGGTGGTAGAGGTATAGCTGCCGGCTTTTCCATTGTCTGTTGTTCAACCAATTTTTGTATTTTAAGTTCACGTACCGGTACTACGAAAATTTGCTCAAATTTCGATTTTTTATATTTGAACATTGTCAATTTCAAGTTGGGAGCCCAAAGATTATATTGCAGAAATAGTTAATTTTCACGACTTTTTCAACGTATTTCCCCAAAAACATTTGACAGGCAGCAAAAAAACCAGATACATAATTAGAATCACAAGAGAAACTTTGTAGACAAATCAACGATTTACGATGGATACGATGAGATGTACTTATGATCAACGAAGAAACGACTGTTTGATTGGACTCCTTTTGGGCGATATCAGTCGTTGCTGCAGGTGATTGAGACTTCTTCTTTTCCTCAGGTGTAAGCGTCGACGGTGGTGGCGTTGTCATCCTAGCATCTTTATCTTTAGTTAAGTTCATGCCGAGAGGCGATCTAGAACTTTTTTCGAACGTTTCTGTTTTTTCGGGCTTATCTAATTTCTGCATATCATCACCATCGTAACTGGACATTGCGCCTACACCATGTTTCTGTTTCAATAACCCCATTAGTTTTTATCGCAAACGACATTTTAAATAATTTCACATGAATATGACGGATTTTTTCCTCTTGTTTCTTGGAAAATAACATTTTTTGCGCAGTCCTTTCGAGCGTATCAAAACTTATAAATGGAGATCGCGAAAATGAACAATAACAATGAAAATTGCCGTTAAGTAACGCTTTTTGTTTTTGTTCCTTTTCATTAGTGTTGTTAAGCTACAAATGGGTTGCCACTCCTAAGATCGTAAAATTTAATACAAAAACGTTATAGCGCTATATTTTGGCATTCGAAATTGATGTGAAAAATTTTTAAGCGGGTGCGGCAATTCTGTGAAGTTGCCTATAGAAACTGAATCTTTATATGTTAGAAAGGCTTAATTTTCAATTTTTCTTGATGAAGATTCGTTCGTACATTAGTAAGATAATTAGACAAATAATTTCTAAATTTTAAATTAGTCTTTGAAAGGAACTTTTGCAGGTTGATGATAGCTGCAAAGTGTTCCGTTTGAAGCAGAACTGTTTTGTAGAGGTTGATGAAAACTCTACAAAATAGTTCGCAGTGAGAAAAAAAAAATATTTTAAGACCTGAATTCAGCGTAAGTCGTATCAGTTCATAGTTGTTGAAGTTGTTTTGTCTCAGTTTCTCGCATCGAATATCGTATATTTCTCTTTCACTTCTATCAGAAAGAATGAGTCGATCTCAAGGTTTATTCGTGTAATACGGTGACCGTTAATGGGGCAAAAAATAACAGCTGCAGCCTAGTATAAGCTTTAACAATTTCATTAAAAATAAAATGCCTTTTGCATTATTATTGGAGCGAATGTATTTTATATCGATTTCGCCCTTGATTGTCAATGAATAATAAATATTAAACTGTTAATATATCTATTCAGATATTATGCTCACCGACATGCACGATCTCCTTAGCAAACTCCTCCACGAGCATCCGGAGGTGTGGCGTTCTTGCCGGACATCAAAGAACGGAATCTACGATGAATTGGCGCGCAGATTTAACGAAAAATCGAACCGTAGAGTAACTGCCACGTGGCTTGCAAAGACCCTGGACCGAATCAAAAGAACGATAAAAAAAATTGAGGAAGGGTCGTCCCGTACCGCTCTTACCGCATATGCGTGGTATGCTGAAGAGCTGGGATATAAGAAGGCAGCTGCAACCATGAAGAGAGAGAGAGCAAGGGCAAAGGCTTCTCAAGAAGATATACTTCTGGCGAAAGAAAAATGTCGTGGATTCCAAGATGGCAAAAAGCCTCTCGAAACATCCACCATAGATGCGGTTCTAGCCGAACTAACGCGTACGCGGCGCGAAATGCAGTTTGGAAAAGCTTGATAGACGCATTGCCAATTCTTTTAAATGGCCGGCTCCCTGTAGGTTACACCATTATAAACTTAATTTAAAACTATAACATATCTATATAATACTTATATAATGTCTATAATATTAATAAACAAATCTAAGCCCCGTTAATAGATAATGTACATAAATAATATATACATAATATATAAAAAATATATATCCACAATCGCTGCTGTGTGGTTTTCTTAACATCTTGTTATCTGCAAAGGTACATTAATGTAATTACTAAATTTATATATAAAGATGACCACAAACTTACCACTGGCTTATGGAAGTGTCGCACTCCGCTGAAGCGATAGTGCAGGCGTATTCAATTTTTTTTGGAACTGAGATGAAATAAAAAGAAATGAGGTCAACCATTACCACACCTCATGCATATACCCACCAATCGTTTGTTGATGATGGGGCCATGATAATGAAATTGGATTTTTCGAATAACTTCTGGCATCTTTTAAGACATACCAAAACTCTGAAATGTGTTTTTTTTTTTGAATTTTTAAAAACATGATTTTTTATTGGCACTTCTTTCCAAGACACTGCAATACTGGATGGTAATTAATAACAATGAACTTATTTACGTGCTTTGTATGTCCGTCACGAAGTACTGCATATCAGTTATTGTTATCGCATGCAGACAAATGAAATGTAAAAAAAATGTAGAAAGCTATTCTGCACATTCCTTATGAAAACTATGTGAACCTCTGAAGTACCTCCTCGGTAAAAAACAAAATATAAGAAATTGTAAAATGCTCTTACCAGTCAGTTTTGAGTTAAAAAATTATTTTAATGCATTAAACTTATTTTTAATTAATTTAACTATTACACAAATGATTGATGCAATTTTTTGATTTGATCCAATTTTTTATTCAAATTTGTTTTATATTTTCTATTATTTTAATGCACTTATTTTTAATTAATTTAAACTTATTTTTAATTAATTTACACCTATTATTAATTTAAATATTGATGCAGTTTTTTGATTTAATCCAATTTATTTTCAAATTTTTTTAAAATTTTCTATTATTTTGCCAATTTTGCAATGCGCACAATTTCTTTCTTCCAATTGCGAAATTTCACAAAAAGCCGTTAGCAGTTTTTTCCCTTTACATGGTTTATGAAAAAAGTACCATCTATGAAGAATTTACAGAAGACAGAGTTGAGTGCAATAAATAAGAAAAATGGGGAAAAAACTCAACAATTCTTGCATGAGTTATGATCGAAATGGATTTTACAAACTGCCAATAGCCACACGAATAGGTTCTACAAACTGCCAATTAAACATAATTAGTCAATGTTACGATTGCGTGGTGTTTGGTTCTTTTCATTGCTTTTGTTTATCGCTTCTGTAATTTCCTTCAAGGATCTTTCAAATCTCAATTGACTTTCCCATCGTTTATCGTCGGCTTCTTCGAGTTTGCGCACACATTCACTTTTAATTGATGTTATTAATATCTATTGATTCCGGCACATTTTCATCATTTTATCCCTGCATATGACAAACAGCGACTTTAGTATATTTGCTTTTTCCAAATTGCTTACCGACTTCTTTTCCTAAATTTTACTATGTTCTCTCACTACCATTTCGAAATTATTCGCTTATGCTTTCAGTGTGCGTTCCACTCGTCCCTGTGGTAAGGGAATTTTGCTAAATGCATCTGAAAAAAAAAAAATCTTTTTGTGTTCATAGTCATCTTTTAAGAATTCTTTATTACCTCGATTTTCCAAGGTGTCGAAACTGAATCTATTTTCTACTGATAATCGTATGTAATCAACATGCAAAGTTTTGGGATTAACACCTATTCTATAATCCGCTTTAAACCAAATCAGAGCAACCGTCTTGTTTTTTAGTTCATCCATTTATTTCTAATTGAGTAGGCCTACCCAGAAGCCAGCCATTTAAAACAATTGGCAACGCGCCTATCCTTAAGTTTGGGGTGGAAAGCGAAAGCCGATCAATGTTCTAGTAATAGATTTTCAGTATGCAACCTTCTGGCAACGGCAACATGTCAACATTTTGCGATTTGATATTAAGTAGGATGGCATCACGGCAATCAGTTTGTAGAGACAGAACTGAAAAGGGATATGTATTAAGAAGGCATGCAATTTTGAATTCGATACTGATAATTTCGTTCTTACTGCCGTATAACTGTATGACACGAATTTATTTTGTGGTACCATATACGTCGATGACAACATGTAATGTGGTCTTATCAATTAGTATATCCTTTGTGCAATGCCCCCGAGCACTTCCATTAATGATAAAATGTATTTCGGCTTTGGTTTTGTCAGCGAAAGCGAAAGTCATCGTACAACGCTGAATGTTCTCCCATATGTAAGGCAAATTCAGTAAAACGAAATTGAAAATTAATTTTCCAAAGGTTTCCACTTCGTTTCTATTTGGAATACATTGACAGCTAATGAAACGAGAGCGACGGGATTGAATACAATATCGAATATAATATAATATTCGCGATTTAACATAATGTAGGAAATAGGATCTATCCACGTGTGTTTCATCGTACCAATAGTAATTAATTTTGCATATTTAACCAAAGATCTCGACAAGGTTTATCGCTTTCGTCTCGGGTTAATGTAACATTATCTACTGCGAATCCCGCTCATACTCGTTGAACTAGTTCTTGGCCTAAATAAGGGATTCCAGATAATAGGTTTGTAATTACTGCAGCTCTTTAAAAGCATATTTGCTCTCCAGGAAGAACATCTCCGATAAGACTAAAGATAACATAATTACTCCTACTAATCATGTAGGAATTAAATAAGAAAGATCCATAATAAATTTTCCGTCCGATATGAAGATAAATGCAAATAAGGAAAATTATATATCTGTTCGCATTCTATTATTATTATTATCTTTTTTACTTTTACTTTTGGAACGGTCGAAAAATCAATTTTTCATGCTTATTAGCAATTTGCTCTTGAAAATTTCGCAGACGTCAAATATAAAACTTTGCGTCATTTTCCCTTCAAAAAAAAAAAATAGTTAAAAGGCAACTAGATCGAAAGGAACTTTTCAAATTGTTGACATAAGTTAAGGCCAATTCCAGATAACTTACCATTATGAGTTCGGGTTTCATTACGGAGGCAGAAATAGCTGAAGCACGTAAACGCCGCCAAGAAGAGTGGGAAAAAGTGCGCACTCCAGAACAGCCTCTTGGTAAAAAATTTCGTGTAAAATCGTGAAAACTTATTTTTATATTCAAAGTATTTTAACTAACTAGAACGTCCTGAAGAGCCGTACGACGGTCGTTCACTCTTCGATCGTCTCAAGGAACAAAAAATTAAAAAAGACTTGGACTATGAGGAAACACACAAATTAAGTACGACCTTGTCATATACCTTCAACCATTAATTTAAATATATTTCCAATTACAGAAAATTTAATACGCGGGTTAGATGACGATGAAATTCAGTTTCTGGAATTAGCGGACAAAAACAAAATAAATATGGAAAAGAAACAAATGCAGGAAGAAGAAGAAGAGTTAAAAGAATTCCGAAGTCGCGTGACAACACTTCAAGAAGAATTTATGGATAAAGTAAAGATTTGGAAGAAATTTTGAAAGTTGTTAATTAATGGGGCATTTTTCAGAAATTGCAAGGTGAATTAAAGTCAAAACAAAAACCTCAGACATCGACAGCAAGGCCTTCTCAGAAGGCCTTATTGAGTGTAGGTATCAAACGCAAGAACGGTGAAACCGAACCTACAACCACTAAAAATAAAGAAACGGAATTAGAAAATTTAGATCCGCCGGAAAAATTTGAGCAGAGTCAAAAAAGCATCGAGGATGCAAAACGAAAATATCTCGAAAACATTATGGTTGACGGTCTTGACAAAGGCCACTTCAAGTGCGTTGCCATATTGCCCGGTCTAGGGCCTTATACAGAGTCTAGCGATTCGGAGATAAGTAGCGACAGTGGCGACGAACCATACAACTGCAAGGACTATGGAACATGTGACCTGGTCGGTCGAAAGAATCCCAAAAAGAAACCACGTGTGGATGAGCGGTAAAAAGCTTATAATAAAATATATTATCTTTATTCATCATAATGTACATGCAGAAATAATGAAAATCCATGATTTATAGAAAAAATTTAAAAATGTCATCAATCTTTTCCTTTTCGAACCTTTTTGTTCCGATTACGATTCTTCACATTAGCTACTTCATAAAAGTTGCTGCCTACTTTTTTCCGTTTTTGACTATTTTCCATAGCTCTTTTCTGCTTCGATGTTAATTTGACAATTTTGCTGGTTTCATTTTCAGAGTCCAGGTCCTCTTCGCTTAACTTTTCCACTCTAAATTTGCCGGATGACGTAATAACTACCGTTTCCCTGCAAATGCGCTTTGAAGCCGCCTTTTTGTGCACGACTTTTTCCAAGTTTTCATCGTACTCGTCTTCCGAGTAGAAATCGCTGACTCCATCACTTGACTCATCATCTTTCGTCTTGGAGTTTAAAATTTTTCGTCTTCTCGCCGTCAGACGTTCTTCTTTCTGTTGTTCTAATAATTCCAAATTAACTTCATCTAGTTCCTTGATATCGCCTTCTGCGTATTCGAGGCCAACTTTAATTTTACGAAAATCTTGCAATTGCTTGAACTCTCTCGCCTTCTTAACAGCGTCGTTAACCTGCTTATCATCCTTATCCTTTGCAGTTTCAGTTTTATCCTTTGGATCTAGCTCATTTTCCTTATTATTTTCAATGTTTGCGCTGGAGTTTACAAATCCCTCAGGTATAACGTAAAACGGTAATTTACCTCTCTGCCAATCATTTAGCACCATGCGTGATACTACCGTAATATCCGGTTCACCGCCTTTCAAAAGTTTACCTGATTTCTTGGCTAATTGTTCCAAGAAATCCATCGAAGAAGACCATTTGTCTATTTTGTAGGTTTTTTGTATATACTCTGGACGAACTCTCTGCAAAACGGTTTCTACGTAATCCTCCGGATTGGAAACTAATTCTACTCGGACGACACCCTTCAACACTTTTTCGGTGTCGGTTTCAGCTGATGGATAAACTACACCCGGGCAATCGATGAGATAGATACGTTTCATAAGTGTAATGTATTGCCAAACTTTTGTCTCGCCTGCGATGGGAGCCACATTGCAAACTTTTTTCGACCTTAACGCGTTAATTACCGACGACTTGCCGACATTGGGATAACCAATAAAACCAACACTAATTTGTTTTCTATCAATATGAAGTTTTGCAAGTTGCCGCAACAAGTTGAATAAAGCGCCTTTGCCGAAGGGATGCTGTATAGAAGCATGAAAAGCTATTGTTGGATATTCAGTGTTTAAAATAGCCACCCAACGTTGGGTTACCCATACGGGTACTAAATCTACTTTATTTAATATAAAGAAGATGTGTTTATGAGGTTTCTCTTTACGTAAGAATTCTTCAATATATTTGGATCGAGTCCCCATAGGATCTCTAGCATCCAGCACCTGTAGAAGAACATCCGACGCATCAACCACCTTATGTAGTTCATTCCAAATCCTTTTACTTTGGCCGGCTGCAAAGATCCAATCCCTTTGAACTGCTTTCTCGCCAAGGTCTTCTCGCACCAAATCAGTGTCCTTATCCTTATTATTGTCATACTGCTCAGCTTGAGCATTTGCACTTTTTGTTAGATCTTCTAAGTCTTTAACTTTCATATTGACGCGTTTTCTTTGCTTCTTCGGACCGAATACGTTCTCGAAACTTTCAGTGTCCAGCAGATGGACGCGTTGGTGTTTGCTCGCTTCGTTTAGCAATGTTATCGGCAATTGTGAAGGCTTCATAATTACTTGATAAGGATTCTTTATGGCTGTACCGATTTCGTCTTGAAATTTTTGTAAAGCAGTTTGTGAAATAACTCGAGAATTGCTAAACCATTTCGGAGTTGGTTCAACGCGTGCCATGGTGCCCGAGGCCAACCAACCCTAGAAAATAAACTACGTGAAGTGCCATATCTAAACATGCAAAGCTTTTCTAATTTTACCTGGAACGGCGCTGGTGTTATAATCTTCCCTCTACGATCGCGTTTGGCTTTGAAATTTCTATACATCTGCAAACGTTTAATTGTGCCCTTCGTTCTTGGATTAGCAACACCCTTAAGCTCGCTTTTTGATCTTTCTGGGTTCATTGAATGGTTCGATTTATTAAAACCTTGTTTTCGGGGCGGCCCCGTAGAACTCCTTACTTTAGGCATCTTTTTAAAAAGTGGTCTGTTCCAAATAAACCAAGTAATTAATTAGCTGTTCGCAAACGTGCTTTCGGTGCTTCTCGCTGAATGAAATTAAAAAGCCGCAGAATAAAATTGTAATGACAGCTGATTTAAGTGAAATTTCGCAATGTAGAATAAACAGTAAAAACATACCAAGGCAACTATTTTTCTTCTTTAAATTATTGAAGAGAAGTAGATAATAACAATTAAAAAATATATAATATTAAAATTATTAACAAGAAATATTAAATAAATATGTGCAACAACAATTTAAAAATGCTATTTAATTATATAAAATTTTTTTTTCACAGCATTCCACGATACTCATTGAGTGGCCTTTTTAACATATCTGTGTTAAAATTTCTAAACAATGAGACAAGGAACAAAGTATGAAACTTGTTTTCTTCCCTTTAGTAACCAATGAATTCCATATAAATTAAAGTGCATTCAGTCACACGTGTAAACAGCTTTTTATAGAAAAGAAATTTCAAGTGTTTATGGTATGAAATTGAACATACTGACTTTTAAAAAAAAAAAAAAAACAAGACCATATACTATTTACAAGTTTATGGAGAAGAGATATTTCCGTAAAAAGCTAGTGCAAGCAAGCAGCAGTAAATCGTAAAATATTGTTCAGTTTTATAAAAAAAACTACGCATAGTCGCTGAAATGGTTTAGTTGAAATTATAAGAATAAAAGGAAAGCAATAACACTTGTTCAAATTGAAAAAGCCACTGTTGGAATTTCACAAGATTCATTTACGAAAGAACGAGACAGTTATCATTATTTAAAATAAACATTAATGTGTTTGTCCTATGCTTATATACGTGTGCATGCAGTTTGCAGTTTGCGGAACTGTTAATTCTTTCTTATAATTGCGACCCTTTCTGCATCTAGCTAGAAAGGAATGTTGCTTCATAAAAAAAAAGAATGCTAATGGCATTTTGAAGCAAACCGTGTAAAATATATATTTTTAATACATATCGATTCCTGTAAAAGAAATGGATGAAAACACTTTAAATGATTTATTGGAATGTTCAGTGTGCTTGGAACGTTTGGATACATCTTCAAAAGTATTACCTTGTCAGCACACGTTCTGCCGAAAATGCTTAGAAGTAAGTGGAGGAAAATTTAAATATTAATGATGTCTTGTTATGGAACTTTATATCTTTTCCAACTTAAAGGTAATTCATGCTAGCCATCAGGAATTAAGGTGTCCGGAATGTCGTGTGTTAGTAGAAACTAAAATTGATGACTTACCACCCAATGTTTTGCTAATGAGAATACTAGAAGGTTTGTAAATCTAATAGAAATTTTGAAGGAATTTATCATATACATCTTAGCCACGTTGAAATAAAAGTGATCAAGGGCGGATGATTTTTTAAAATTATTATATTATTTAGGTATGAAAAATACAGCCGCTTGTAGACAACAGACAAATGGCACCAGCAATGGAGTAAATGCTACAACAAAGACAACAGATCAAGAAATTAGGCGTAAACAGCAGCAGATGCTGGAATTTCAAGAGCAGCTGAAAAAGCAACAGAATCAAAACAATTTAAAGCAACAAGCTTCTAATTGTAATCAAAATCAATCAACACATCAGCCGTCAGTTTTGCATTCTAATGTTTCAAAGCGACGTCTTGCTGTGCCACATGCTTATGCTTTGCATGATTATAAGTCAAAAGTGGCCTGGGATCTAAATTTTAAAAAAGGTGATATTATTTTCTTGAAACGACGAATCGATAGTAACTGGTATGTGGGTCAAGTTCAGGGTGTGGATGGTGTTTTTCCCATTAATTTTGTTCAGGTAACTCTTGCATTACATTTTCATTTATTAAAATACTTATTTACATGTATATATATGTTAACCTATTTCAGATCGTAGTTCCATTGCCTTTGCCACAATGTGTGGCACTGTATGATTTTAAAATGGGTCCAAATGAGGAAGAAGGCTGTTTGACCTTCGAAAAAGGTACCATTATACAAGTTATCCGGCGAGTTGACCATAACTGGGCTGAGGGTAGAATTGGTAATTCCATAGGTATATTTCCTATTGCCTTCGTGGAGTTAAGTGCTTTGGCGAAACAACAACTGGATAATGTACAAATTTCGCACCAATTGGCATCATTAAGACAATCACAACAAACTGAACCGAATGAAGTAATGAATGAATTAAGACCGCTGCCAGCTGTCCCGTTTATAGATCCTACTACAGAGAACAATAATAGTGATTCAACCACAACGTCATCGTCATCGAATTCGTCCGTTTCAGTGCCATCATCCTCGTCAACAAATTCATCTAATACTACTAGTCCTGTAGCAACCACTAATAACTCCCGGATTACTGACACTAACATTCACTCTTTGCCTGACAGCTGTCAACCCTTGCTGCCGAACACATCTCAGCAGCACAGTGTCGCCACTGCTTGTGCTAGTTACAATGACACAGCAAATAATACGTCTGTGAGTTTACGAAACACCGATATGGCGCATAAGAGACATTCCTTGAACGCACTACTCAACGTTGGAACTACAAACTTAAGTATTTCCCAAGTCAACCGTCATTCGGCTGAAATACTAAGCGTTCCCACAACATTGGAGGACACTACGGCGAATTTAACGTTAGCTTGTTCTGTCACCGAGATGGAACAACAAGGCACACAGCAGCCACAAAATGTAGTGGATCAGCCGCAAAATATTGTGGGTTTGCCACCATATCAACACCAAGATCTGATGACGTCATCAGCGCACACTCAAACTCGTCATAACGTCTTAAAAACGACGTCTGTTCAACAAAATATTCCTTCAATCTTGCCATGGAGTTATCTTGCATTGTATCCTTACAAACCCCTTAAAAATGATGAATTGGAGTTAAAAAAAGGTAAGTAACACGACTCCGAACATACATGCATATTGATGATGCCTTCGTTTTTAGGATGTGTCTATATAGTTACCGAAAGATGTCTTGATGGTTGGTTTAAGGGGAAAAATTGGAAAGGCATTAGTGGTGTGTTTCCCGGCAATTATGTTATACCGTTAAAGGTCAGAGATCAACAGCAATTGATGCATGGCTGGAAATTTGGGCCACCAGCTTCTGCAACTAACGCTATCAATCAAAATAATTCGTCAATGGCGCAGTTAGGTACTGCAACGCAACAACAGCTCGCAACAAGTTGTAGAAGCTCTATGCGCCATGATTTAGAAAGTCTTCAGGCACGCGTAACAGTGTCAAATTCTCATCAAACTTTGCCGCCCGATTTACCATTAAGATATTTAACACTGAGCCCAAAGGATCAAACGGTCAGCAATATAAAGGAACACAAAGAGGAAAAAACCATAAAACAAAAGAACGTGACTACTGGTTGCATATCTACATCAAACTCGTCGTCTTCAGCGTCTACGACAACGACGGGACTTAAGAAATTTTTAACCCACATCAAGACTAGATCAAAATCTCCAAGTGCAAGCGCTTCTACAGCTCAAAAACAAAAGCAAAAGGCGCAATCCACAACAAGTCCAGCTGCTACGATGGTTTTAAAACAAAAAAATGCACAAAACAATACCTTAACTGCCGTCCACGTGCGGTAATTTTTCTATTTAAAAAAAAAAATTATTTTTTTTGTACTTATGTACCTAATACTTGTTTTAGTTCTGGTTCGTGTCCGAGTCAGTTGTTGCAAAATCCTTCTGCCGACAGAGCCAATTCTCAACCCATGAACCAACAACAACCTCTTGCTTCTCAAGATTCTTCCAACAGCGCACAACGTTTAAAAGGCAACAATAAAAGCAGAGCAAATACATTAGCGAAGTAAACATAAAAATGCGATCAGCCGGTCCAGCAAAGAATTTACTCATAAGTTTTATTTTTTTGCAGGCCAACAATTGATTCAACTTTACGTTCGATTTATGCCAATCAGCTTCAACAACAATGGTCTGCGACTGCGGCTGCCTCATCTTCCCAATCAAATCTCGTTATGGTAAACAAATGTAATCAGCAACATCATCAACAATCCACCAACAACACAACCAACAATTTCAATAGCGACGGTGCCATACATCGTAAATCTCATTCATTGGACGCATCAAATATTCTACAAAGTATTACATTATCGCCGACCGCTGCTTCCAAACCCGGCGGTGATAATATCGCACAAAGTAACGTTAACGCAACATCGGCAGAAACTCTTGCTGCAACCACTCAAACCAATGCGGATGAAAGGTATGGTTTTGTTTTTTTTTGGTCGCTATCTTTACTCACGTTAAACCTGATTGAAAGAGGAATCTTAATGGTATCAGTTTTTTGATTTCTTGCAGTCGATTTCGTTGCGTGGTCTCATATCCGCCCAATAGTAATGTTGAACTGGAATTACATTTGGGTGACATTATCTTCGTAAGACGTAAACAAAAAAATGGCTGGTATATGGGCATAAATTCTCGTACTAAGAAAACTGGCTTGTTTCCTGCTTCCTTTGTCGAGCGCGACGTTATTTAAGACCACCACCCTGGAAATAGTATTAATTGTTAATTCAAGAGTCGACGTGACAGAGAAAGTTGTAAAAAGAAAATTGTATTTTAACATAGCCATTTCATGTCCAATTGCACAGAAAGGAATTTATTATCTTCCATTTATTGTTCTACAAAAAGAGAAAAAAACGCAACTATACGCCACTCCAAAGTACCAATTAATCTTACGACATTGGCAGATTTTCCAATTCGAAATCTTAATTGATTGAATTAAGCTGAGTATGCCCTAACAACCTAACCGAAAATATTTATTTATTTACGTAGGCAATATATCCGATCAGGTCAACGCATATTCTATAAATTCGGACCGTTGCAATTGCAAAGATTCTATTTAATCCTTAATTACTGGCGATTGTACTCCAGCGAAATGATCCGCGTAATACAGCTACAGGTTTAGCGAAAGATTAACTTCGGCTGGATGTTATCGATAACCTGGGAGTAATTATTATTATTCATCAGGGCGATTGACATTCGACGCATTAGAGCAAAACATATCTTTTTTTAGTTATCCATATTCTGTAAGTGCACATGAAGCGGCTGAGGTCCAAAGTAAATTTTGATTTCGCTTTTCCATGATTATATGATAGGCTTTCATAAACTTGGAAGCCTTAAAGAAAAATTAAAAATCAGTGACAGGAGAAAGCTCTTTCAATGGTATCGTCAGTTCGCGATGAATCCAATTCTTAGATAATCCTGGCGAATTCTATCTATAATATTATTGTTTTTTTTTTTTGAAGTTAGAATTAACGTTCATTTAGTTATTACGGAGCTGTTTATGGCACATCACGTCCGCCTTTAAATTTGATCAGCTTTCTAAACTAGACAACAAACGGATTGATTATACTCCACTAAATCGGCTCGGAGTTTTGTACCGGCCATTATGTTACAATATTAGAAGATATATATATATATATATATATATATATGTAAGCTTGATATCGGTTCGTTGTTGTTGTAAGTAAACAACTAATCTTTATGTATGAAATTTTACATGAATTTGTAGTTAATTTAACCTTTAACATTTTATGGGGGCGGTTCAATGATAATGTTAATGCAAAAAAAATTTCCAAATCATTTCTTGAAAGTTCAAAATTTTTATAAAACTTAATTAATAAGGTGTACTAAGTGCAAGTCAAACACATTGTCGTGCTTAATGCTTATCCTAGCTTAAAAAGAATTTTTCTACGTAGAGTGTAACCTAATTCTCTAAGAATAATATATTTTTTTATATTTAATTTAAAATTTTGTAAAATGAATTAATTATCTTTTATGTAAACAAAAATTTAATTTTATTTTATACTACGCAAGTAAATAAAATAATATAAAATTTATTGTTAAAAAGTATATCGAAACTCTCGTTAAGGAATGAATGCAACTTATTTTCCTAAAATAAAAAAAATAAAAATAAAAACAAATCTTTTAAATAGTGGCTAACGGGAGACCACTCAACGCATTCAAACAAATTTTGTACACTTTGAAAAATTTTTAAATAATTTTTTTAGGAAAAAAGTGGACCCATCGCATCTGTCACAAAACGTTTTATCAAAGCACTTTTTTGGCCATACCATCCCTCTGCTCCTGTTTCTCATATATCGTTTGGTTTGATCTTGGAAGCGTGTAGGAAGGCCATTCAGCACTTCCGTGGTCATGTCGGGGGCACGGTCATCGACCTGCAGTAACAATTCGCCTATTTCTGCCTGATACGAACGATAAGCTTAACGATGAGCTTAAACTGTCTGCAATATGATCCTTCGCGTTTTTTTGATGAGGCTCACAAAGTTGACGGATTTCGTTTATAGTTATATCCACTGTATTCTGTTGAATGTCAATGCCGCGACATATATTACGCATTGCCAAAAGACGGCGATCTAAACGATCTAAAGCTCTAAGCATTACTTGAGTGTCACCAACGGCTATATCACACTCGACGCGATCCTGGAGTAAAGTTAAATAAAAAGATTTAAAAATATATTAGGATCCTTCAAAGCGTGCAATGAATTTCAAATTTCCACTGAAGGTTCGTAATAACATTTTCAAGTATGGAAGTGAGAACAACGGAAGGAGCACATAAGCAACATAGAAACTTTTCACTAGATTCGAATTCTGAATCGATTTAAGCATTACGGTTTGTCGGTGTGTGCATTGCCAGTGGTAAAGATTGTCCTGGCTAAAGAATTGGACAAACATTCAAAGTTCTTTCACTTCAGTCGGTTATGAAAAATGAACCAAATCGATTAAAAGACACGCCCACAGCACAGAGCACATAGCTGCTTTAGCGTTTTTTGCTCTTAACCTGTTAATAATACCAGAAAACGATAGTTTCACTGAAAATATTGAAAACATCGGCTACCATTCTTTATCTTTATACCAGGTCTCAATCAATTTCGATGCAGGGTATACTAAGTTTGTAAAATGTATACAATGTCGAGAAAGGTTTCAGAGTGGCTCATTCTTTATTATAACGATTAGATCTGGACCCGCCAAAGCTAGCCTGTCCGTTTGTCCGTCTTGTTTGGTTGTGTTCAATCTACAGGCTGTTCAAGTGTTTATAAGTTCCAACTACAAATTCCAACTTTTGAGACATTTCGAGGAATTTGGTTCAAGGACGTTATTGAAAATAGTGCGGAACTCTTCTTCGATCACCCCCCATATAATTTCCTATTTTGAAAACTCGTCATATGAAAGAAAAATTGCAATTTTCAATATTCCTCAGCGAAGTTGGCTGAATAGTCATATTTCGACATTTCAAAATGGTTGTGGAAACCTTGAAGCGGACGGTGCAAGTTTTTGAACCTCATTCTATATAATCGTTCCTATGAAAATTGTTAAAAAATTAGTTCGTTATAATAACAATAATTTTGGCATATAAACTAACCTTATGGAATTTGTACCTTTTTTAGACCACACTCCATATAAAGATTTTGATGAAAATTAAATGATATTTTATTGTGAAAAGTGGTTCAAAAAAGTAATTTGATATAGAACAGTCCATATCAATGTTGAATTAAGCAAGCCTGTTTCTTAGAGTGATTCACAAGGTGCTTTTCAATCGCATCCTCCTTAAATTCGATGCCAACTTCCAGCAAAAATATAATGGCGAAGATTATCATTTAGAATTTTACTTCCCGCGTTATTGATACAGCACCACGCCGTCTTACAAGCGATTAAGAATTTAGGCGAACAATTCTTGTTTCCATCCGGAGCACGGACGCGTGGATGCCGACAATTGAATATACGGGTAGATGATGAGGAAAACCTCTTGTTAGGCAGTTATGGCACAATTGCACACTGAACTCCATACAGAAAAAAGCCATAGCAAATATACTACGAGGAGAAGTTTACAACATGCCATGCCCCCCCTTTATATATAGGTGAGACTGGGTAAATTCAACCGCAGCCGCATATAATTTTCTTACTTGTTTTTGTCTAATTGTGACGATATTTTGTGTAAAAACTGAGTGTATTTTGCTTGTATTATGCGTACATTTTCTTGACAACACCATATTTCAGAAATTTCTAGGTACGCAGTGCTTACATATACTTAGTACTCATAATTTCTGATTACAATGTGGTCCTTTTATTCATATTTAGAAAAAGAATCAGAGTCAATTTAGATGCATTACGATTTTCTTTTCATATGCATCGCAGAAAAGTTACCACTGGTTCCTATCATATTTTTAAATCATTATTTCAAGATGGTGTTGCGGGTTGAGTTTTTTTTATACCCACCACTGGTAGAGGTTTACTCGTCTAGTTTTTCTTCAAAAATAAGTTTCAGAGACCCTATAAAGTATATATAGTCTTGGTCGACGTGAAATTCTAATTTGATTAAACTACGTCCGTTCGTCTGTGCGCCTGTGTGTTATTTGTTGCTGGCATTCTCTTGGTCGCAAAAATGGGGATATCGACTTCAAATTTGACAGAAACGTTGGAATCTTTTGCCCGAAAGTTGGCATTCGAAGGCTGAAATTTTCCACCTTACGAATTTTCCAGTGCATTACGCAACACTCTACTATAAGAAAAAATCGGCCTTGCCCACATAATGTTACAATTACGATTACATATTATTTTTTTTCACTTTTTTGTGCTTTTATGCGAACAAGACGGAATGTTGAAAACTATTTTGTACATTCCTCAAATGAAGATTTATTATCTGCCTAAAAATGGATTAATTCTGAAATGAATACGGTAGACACCGCTGTTAATTTTTGCGAGACTCAGCCACGCGTATATTATTTTCTTATCTGCTTGACTTTTTAATCAGTTATACATATTTGTCAAACTCTGAACTCAAAAGAATCATGAAAAGAATCATTAGTGTGTAGTTAACATTCTAAAAACCTAGTATCAATAAAAAATATAGAATAAATAAATAAAGATTTAATTGCTTTGTTGTATTTACTTCGACCATATATAAAGAGTTCACAATTGCAAATATTATGCATATTTATACATTTATTTCTCCATACATAAACAAGCTTACGATTTATTTATAAACGGCTTTCTTGAAAACGGATCTCAAAAAATACGATCAAAGTCGATATTTGATATTGTCTATAATTTGCAAAATAAGCATTAAAATTGACTGAAAACGTTTTTGTATTTGATTTATATGATTATTAAATTTAATGATCACCAAATGCTTTCTAATAGATAATACTTTTTATTTGATTATACATATTAAATGATTGACGATAAGTGTTACATTACAACTATATATTAATATAGTAATTAATTAGTTTTTTGCTTATATATTAAATGATTGACGATAAGTGTCACATTACAACTATATATTAATATAGTAATTAATTAGTTTTTTGCTTACAAGTCCAAGTCTCGTCTACGCAAGGTTTTTGTAGTTTTTTATCTGGAAAATTTTGGTAACAATTTACGGGATCTTGAGCGGTGAATTCCGTGCATGTTTTACGACTTATCCGAAAGTTCTGTAAAATTGAATATAAAATAAACTAAATTCGGAATATCATGCGTCGTCTTTTGCATCTTACCTTAAAATCTCCCACTATTAATGACCACAAAAATATGAATACAAGTGGTACCAAATTGAAAGCAATTATAATTTCGAAAAGACCATAGGATACATTCATATTTTAATATTTTTTGACTTTCTTTATACAAAAGAATATTAAATTTAATATGACACCCTTGGAATTGTTTACTTTTGAAAATAAGCACTGATGGCACTGACGGTCTTAGACGGTCTTGCGGATTAATATGACTTGAATAACAGCTGACGCAATTATTGATGTTTATTATTATTGCGAAATATCTGAAATGACAGAGTTTCCAAACATTTCTGTTTTTTCTTATTTAATAAATAACGTCGTTCCATAGAAAACACAGAAAATCTTAAGCTAATGATAAGAACAGAAATTAAAGATATTTGAAAATGTATCGTAGTCTTACTTACGCGTTCTGAAATTTGAATGTAAAATATATGCTATGAAAAAATAACGTCTATATTATCAAGAAATGCACACTTCATCTTATTCTTGAAAAGCTTCCCTCGGTAAAATTTAATTTTTGGTCTATTCCACATTATCAATATATATATATATATTCGCTCCAAGTGTTTAAAAAAGTGTGAGACATATCTTTAGTGGCCTGACGAAATTTAATTTCTTTGTTGTTGAGGTTTTTGACCCTACTGTTTATTTTCTTAATATGTTTTTCCAGTGTTGCCGATTTGATTGCAGGACTTTTTAGTTAAAAAATTTTTTAATTTTCCTCTTTCGTTTTATTGTAAATAATGAAGGAACGAGAGAGAGAGAGGGCAGAACACACAAATGAGATAAAAAAATAACATTTAGTCATTTTGGTGGCAAAAGTAACAAAAGAAAAACTCTATCAAATATACGAGAGTGAACATTATTTTTATAAAAAAAAAGAAAAGTGAAAAATCCATTAAGCTAAGAAAATTTTTACCACGACAGTAGCTCATTAACACAACTAACTGTTCTTAAAGAAAATTTAATATAAACAAAATGTCAGAAACATACGGTAATCGATGAAGTTTCAAAAAAATTTTCACAATTTTTCACAAAAATTGTTTTGTTTTACGCATTTACAGATTATTTATTCAAGTTTTTAATAATTGGCAGCGCTGGTAGTGGCAAAAGTTGTTTGTTGCATCATTTCATTGAAAACAAATGTAAGTTTATATGCACTAATTATCACTTGGTCGTCTAATGTGACAATAATTATATATGCGAATATATATATGTATATTTATACGGATTGTGTATGCTGCGAAGAAAGTTGCGTATCGCAAAGATATAAAGTGTAGCCGAATTTAAATGCATTAGAAAATATCCAAAATCTCTTACGGCCATGTAAAAGAAACCATAACATTGTAAGCAAAGAGAAAATGGATAATAGAAACATTTGAATTTTTTACACTAGCTGTAAGTAAGAATGGTTCGCCTTAAAGCAATTGCATATCCCATTTATGACAATCGCAAAATATCACTGTGGACGTGTCAGTCGTCCAATTACTATAAATTTATCGTTTTTTTTTGTCTGTGATTACCAATTAAAAATAAAAGCTGCAGGGTTGAGGCTTTTATTACTTTACCAGCATCAGTTTCTGGCTTTATTCGTGTAGTCTGTGTAACTGATAATTAAGTTTCTACTGTTTCCCGAAATTGCATATCGAAGATCACCTTTTTGCCTCTTCTGTCTTGAAAATAATAAGAATGAAAAAATAAAGTATTTGCTTATCCTGAATTTATTCATCATTTTAGTTAAAGATGATAGTTCTCATACAATTGGGGTGGAATTTGGTTCACGCATCGTAAATGTTGGTGGGAAATCGGTGAAATTACAAATATGGGACACCGCTGGACAAGAAAGATTTCGTTCGGTAACGCGTTCATATTATCGAGGGGCAGCGGGAGCTTTGTTGGTATACGATACGACGTCACGAGATTCATTCAACGCATTGAACAATTGGTTAAATGATGCCCGCACCTTAGCCAGCCCTAATATTGTCATATTATTAGTGGGCAATAAGAAAGATTTGGAAGAGGCAAGAGACGTGACATTTCTGGAAGCCAGCACTTTTGCTCAAGAAAATGGTTTGTGCGCAAGCATTCATGTTCTTGTAGGTGGAAAGTTTTTAAATTTCACAATATTTTATCTAGAGCTTATATTTTTGGAAGCAAGTGCAAAGACCGGCGAAAATGTTGAAGAAGCCTTTTTAAAATGCTCGAAAACCATTTTGGCAAAAATCGAAACTGGCGAATTGGATCCAGAACGTATAGGTAGCGGTATTCAATATGGCGGAGCAGCTTTGCGAAATTTGCAGCAAACAAGACAACGAAGCGTTAATAAGCCTGACTGTGCCTGTGGGCTATAAATTGTTCGGATCATGCATTCATTTTGTTCATATTTGTAAACCGTAACCTAGTTGTATTTAATTATTTAGAAATTAAAAATTATCGAATTGTAGTCGCTATAAAAAATTGTTGTTCATGTTAAAGTCCGCAACGTTATCAATGTCTTAATTTAAACAACTTTGAATTTCAAAATATCTTCATTCCATTTCTTGAATTTTTTTATTGTATATTCTTGGACTTAAATTCTAAACAATGAAAAACCAACCAAAAAGCGAAATATAAAATAATTTTCTTATATTTTAGCATCCGTTGTAATTAGAGGCAAAGAGCAGTTTGCTTTACGTGCTTCTTTTTTATTAAGGGAAATATATTTGAATTTGAAACACAGGATCTTCAAAAAGATCAGATCATTTTTTAACCTGTTAAGAAACTGGGCAGTCCTTTTATTCTTAGCGTTTCCAACTTCCTTTAGATATTAACAGTCGCTTTTCTCCCTCGAAAGAAGATATAGAAAATATATTTTGTTGTGCATACATTTATTCAGGTTTATCAAATTTGGAACCATAGAAGGGCACGTATTGCAGGACTACCTTCCAGTCTGTAAAATAGAGCAACGTTAGAAATCCCGCACCTCCAAAACCAACGGCTGATGACGCGCTGAAACAATCAAAACAGGAATATACTTTTAAGACTTTTACAGATGGAAAAGTTCCGTAGCATTGTAACGTTATCGAAAATTTTACGTAGATTATGCAATGTGTTTCTTACGCATATCGTTATTGACGCTTTGTTTTTTGTTAAACGATTCTTTAAAAATTCAAGACTTACAAAGAGGTCGCAATTTCTGCGTGCTTTTTTCCGAAAGGCAGTTTCATTTTTCCAATCTATTAATAAAATTTCTAACTGACACTTAACCGAATTATTGATTTAACTTCTTTGAAATAATATGTACAAATTTTAACCTATACTTAAATTTCACTAGAACATATGTCTTATGCTGTCAAAGATTTGACAATAGCAGCAGTATTTGCGCAAATTATACTGTAAAAAAAGGCTGTATTTTACTTATGAATTTGGAAAAAAAAAACACTTATGTGTCAACAATTTACAATTTACGCGTTACTCGTTACTAATTCATACCAAATTAATTATAATAATTCTACAATAACATAATATTAATAATTATTTTTATTAATTAATAAGCTAAAGTAGTTAACTAAGTGAGTTAAAAATAAAACTTGGAGAAACGTCTGTAACTTCTCGCTTTTGAACTATCAAATCCAAAATTGTTAATTGGAATGTATCACCAAGAAAATTTCTCAGTAATAATTAAAACGGCAACCATGTACGCAATTAACTCCAACTATGAAAACTGTGCTATCATAATTGCGCTAAGAGTAAAACAGCTGCTTACTTCAATTAATTAATAATAATAGTAAGACTGCATTTTTTCGTTAAAAATTTTCTAAATTCTAAATTATACAGAGTGAAATCGGGAATTGGGGATGACTGTTCTACGTCATGTTTACCAATGTATGTACAAAATACCAGGAAGTATAAACGCCCATTTAGTTAGTACATGTACTGCGCGCCTAAGCAATGAACTTAAACGTTCCGTATGGGGTTTCGTAGCAATTGCTTTCAATCGAGTAGATATGGACCGATTGATGAAAGTCGGACCCAATCGCTTATGTGCCGAATGGCTACTAAAGAACGGCGGAGCCATACGTACTAAAGGGAATCCCGATATTTTGCTTAAGAATTATAATTTATTGCCGCCCGAAAGCGACAAATTTCTTATCAAAGTAGCAGACGCAACCGGATCGTCGATCATGAAAATTGGATTACAGCATTTCAACGGATGTAAACATATTGACACAGTCATAATTCATAGTTGCCGACATTTGGAAGAAGATGGTCTCAATGATATTGTTTATTTAACTCAGTCTCTAAAAGTGCTGCAAGTGTCCGATTGTGGTAACATTAACGATCAAGGTTTAATGGTGATTGGAAAGTTGAAAAACTTGGAACTGCTTAAAATCTATCATATGCCCGCTGTAAAAAATATGGAAAATGTTAAAAATCAATTGCAAGAAATGTTACCAAATTGCATTATGGACATAAAGAAATAATTTTTAAAAATTTGCAGCAAGTTGCAAAGGTATTTTTATAAACGTTTTATAAATTGATTTAATTTAATTTTTTTTTATAGATGACTTAATTGAAAGAAAGTTGGCTTTCAAACTTATGTCTATGACAAGTTAAGATAGGATTAAAGTATCTCAATGAAGCTAAGGAAATTAGATAGACAATAAAATTGATTTTCCTACATTTAAATATGCCTTAAAATTAAAAATAGTATTTGGTTTAGAATTGCAATTGAGTGACATTTGTCTAAAAAAAAAAAAATAAATAAATAAATAAAAATAATATACAATAACTACGATGAAGCCAAAATATAAGGACGTATATCTTCGACATCCAGTAAACTTTCGGGATTAACTTGCTCGCCGCACATCGGGCATTCGTTAAGTTCAGATAGTATTCTAAGAAAAAAAAAAAGGACAACTTTCGTAAAAACACGTTTTGAATGTGAAGAAGAATCTGAAACTTACTTTTCCATTTCGGCCCGAAAGCAAGGGAAATCACAGGCAGGACATGAAGTCATATGTTGCTTTATAATGTGTTGGCCGGTAGCGATGCAAATTGGCAGAGTTGTCTTGCAGCTGAAACAGGTAACTTCCATATTGGGTAAATTTGTATCGCATATAGGACATTCCATTGTCTCATCATCGATTTCATCGCGAAAATTTTTAATACCTTTTGGAGCTTTACGTACGATAGATTCAATTTTTTTCGCATAGCGGTCATCCAGATTATTACGATACTCAGGCCGCATAAGTGTAGAGGCGTACATGAAGGCTGACTTTTTTAAACCGGAACGATGACATTCAATAACCGTAGACGTCAATATCGGTATCACATCTTTAACGATAAAGTTTTTTTTTTTTTTAAGGTAATTACAAATTGCTGTCTAATAGACAATACGGTTTTTATCTTTATGTTAAATTAATGCATAGCTCTTCAAAATGTTTGTAAAAATCTTCGGATGGCTATCTCTTACGCTTTTAATTTAGCTCCTGTCTCACTGGGAACGAAGACTAACTAAACTTAGAGGTTCTACTTGAGATTTGTTCTAAATTTTCTCAATTTATGAAAGGGTTATATGTGGGCCGTTCATTATGCGTATGAATGCCGGCTTTTAACTTTTTGCCAAAATTTTTACGACTGGGAGCATTTCAACAACAGACGACTGTCAGGTTGCCGGAGATGACTATGCTAGTGGAGAAGGCTTGTGCGTTAGGTTATTGAAACGTATTTGTTAGATTCGAAAACCAAAGGTTCAGAAATGTCAATCCCTCTAATAGAAAGAAGACTTTCAAATTTGTTCAGCTAATGTGAACAATTCTGAATCACGATCGCAACATTGATCGCAAATCTATAAACAGTGCATGTTGTCAAGCTTTTAAAACTTTTATTTTTAAGAGCTTTATGTAAAACGATAAACTTAGTTTGGAATTTCTCGAATTGCAGATACACGAATAAGTGAATTGATGAATTAAGCTTAAAAGAGTAGCAGCACTTACGTTCGGGGAATTGTGATACATTATTAGCCACTTGGACAAGCAATTTTGCAGCCAGCAAATGATTTCCCAACTTAATGTGGATGCGTACCAGCGTGTAGCGGTGCAAGAGAATGAGATTGTGCCTCATTTCGGATGTTACCGCCAAATTATTGCGCCGCAATTCTTGATACATAGAAAATAATAGATCGCGTGCAATTTTATAGTTGCCCGTCAATTGTTCTTGATTTGCTATAATTACAGCCGTTTTTGCCGCATCCTTATAGTGCCGCCTAGCCATATACAATCGGAATAAATAACGCGGATCTTTCGGTGAACCATCCACTTCGCCTAAAAGAAACTCTATTAGCTGAGTTGCCAAATTTTCATTGTTGGACGTGGCAACGCAGTCTATAGCCGTCGATAAAGCCTGTGACTCTTCGTTATTAAAAGCACTTGCCTTCAATAAAAATCTCAAAGCTTTCGTAAACTCTCTGGCCAAGAAATAATATTTGCCTGCCAGCAAAGTATATTTTTCACTTTCAAAATACTGAGCCAATGCTAGATAATCACTTGATTTGGCATTTTGATAACGTTCCAACAGTTCGCCATGGAGTTTTAATTTGTTATGGCGTTGAGCCAGAGCGAAAGCTTCTTCTACACAACCGCAAAGCACAAGAATGTGCAGAGCCTGGTCTATATCTCCGATTTTTTGATAGAACTTCGCCAGTAACTGGGCGCTTTCCACAGAACGAGACTCCAGAACGATTTCGGATGCCGTATGAGGATCACATAAATTGTCCAAGTAAATACGCACACAAGCATCCAAGTCACCAGCGATACGATAGCTATCGATAGCTTCTTGAAATCGCCCATCAGATTCTTTGGCTTTCGCATAAGTGGCATGCAGCTTGGTACTTTTCACTTGAGGCAATATCTGATTCGCTTTATGCCACATCTTTAACGATATGTAAAGGCCACAAGCTTCGTCGTAATATTTACCGCGCTCATAAAGATTGGCTGCTTCCGTCAAATGACCGACAGTGACTAGCAATTCAGCACAGTCACAAAACAATTGTTCATCATTCAATTCAGTCGCATACTGAATCTAAAAGGTTTCAAAATGAAAAACACTTAAGCCGATATAGCAAAAAAAAAAAGGTATTAGTACTTACACCTCTTCGAAAATCGCCCGCACGTATTGACGTTCTTGCAATACCCATTTTGCACAAACGGACATGTTCCTCGTACTCTGGTGAAGAATTGAGTAGTTCTTGATATTCCATAGCGTCGAAGGAATCCTCTTTAAAACCTTTTTCGTAATGGTATAAAGCATCGGCATAGTTACCACTAAATAAAGACAAGAAAGTGAAAATTCTATGTATTCTATAATTTACATAATTTTTGTTAGTATTAGGAATACGAGTCAGAGATCCTTTAAAAAAAAATTATGCATTTTTGAAATTAGAATAAGAATCAGTGTTGTCTTAGATAAATTTTGCGTACATTTCTCCGAACTATTGTAGTATAAAATAAGTAAGAACATTATAGTCATACAAGGCGGACCATTAAATATTCTAGGCATTTATGTATGGGGAGTGGTCGAAAAATTGGATCGATCCGAGTCATTTTCAATTCGTTCTTGGACCAAAAGACGTCACTGTGCCAAATTTCATCAAAATCTCTCGACCTGTAGCTTGAATACAAATTTACTTGGATGAACGGACAGACAGGCTTAGATCAACTTAGATTATGATTCTGAATCGATCTGTACAATAAAAGACGGGTCTATTTTAAGCCCTTATGCGGCTTACATACGATCGCGTTAACTTAATATACCCTGTACCACAAGTGGTGTAGAGTAAAAATATTAGTTCGAATGGTATATTTTGATATCTTAAAATCGTTAATGGCGCTTTCATTCGGTCAGAGGGATATGTGAAAGCAGGTTATGACGAAGATTCGGAGCGGTGGCATCTAATTGACCACTGAAATTGGAATAAGACCTAGATCAAAGCTACTCCTTAATTCCGCTATAACATAAATGAGCAGCTCAATGCAAGTGACCCTAAATGGCAAACGGCTGCTGACAAGGCGAATTGCCCCAGCAGGCAAATAGAAGAGCAAACTGTTCATATTAAATCACATTCGGGTTATGGATAAAAAAATCGGAGGAATTGAGTTAAAAAATAGCTTTCGCCATTTTTGAAAGGGTCGAACTCACTTATATTCCAATTGTTGGGCGTATTCCCGTGATATGAAAGGCACCTGATCAGGTTCATTTTTGTAGGCAAGTATGAGCGCTTGCTCCCACTGTAAGAGATCGCGACATATATCTAAGGCATCTTTGGTATAAGAACCTTTTAAGAAAAATTCTTTGGCTTCTTCATATTTTTCTAATAATAAACAACAAAATCCGCTCAGCAAATTCACATCTTCCATATATCGTATATCCTCCAATGCGTTAACCATTGCCACATCACCTATTTTACGATAAGCTCTTAAAGCTTAAAATGAAAATAATTAATGAAATGAATAATTGGCTTGGAAGCGTTTTAGCATCTCACCATAAATTGGTTCCAAATCGGCTAATGCCTGTCGGCCGTATTCAAGCCAGGATCCTTTCAGATTAATTTTCTCACAAACTTTAAAAGCTTCATTGTATTTACGAATATTTAGAAAATTTTTAAGATTACACGTAGCACCGATACCAGCCAACACCAAATGGGTGGTTAATGATTGTACTGCATATTGACCGCCGTCAATGTATAGAACCATTTCACCGTCAAACAGCAACAAAGGCACTTGTGAAGCTTGCAATTTAGTTTCACCAGCTTTCAGTGTATATTTCCCCGTCACTGAGTAGCGTATAAAAACGTGCGTTGTTACCACTTTGCCTTCACAACTTATAAAGAGATTGGGTTGAGCCAAATCCCATAGACAAATATCACATTTCTTAGGAAAATCATTAACGATAACGCATTCTTCCAAGGCCTAAAATAATTTTGGCAAATGTAAAAATTTTGAAATTTTTTACATCACTAAAAGAGGCAGAAACTTACCGGTAAAAATACATAACCCTGCTCGTGATCGTCTATGAATATCAGTTTCGTACCTTCGTTATCAGCGAATAATTTCTTAATACCCATATTGTGACGATATGTTGTGCATATTTCCCATTTCTCCAAGGAGAAATAGATCAAGTGCCCTATCTGAATGATTTTATTAATTTAAAGGGAATTTAAAGGGAAAGCATTTGTATTCAGGACTTACATCTGTTGCGAATATCAGGTACTCTTGTGTTAATCCAAAACAAGTTATGATTGCATCATTTAAGGTGGGCAAAGCATTCGGAAAAGTTTGCATTAGTTTATCTTTAACGTTGGGATTATCCGTAACTATGGCTTGCAAAATTAATATAGGTGGGGAAAGCACAGCGCAGTAATCCGCATTCAATCGGATGTCTTGTATTGGATTAGAAAAATCGCGTTCGGTTAATAATTCCGGTTTGTCTCCTAGCATCTTTCCAAGATCATAAAACCATGCATGGCGATCTAATCCAGCCACCAAATGGTAAGGGCCTATAGCCAAGAAAGTGGGTTCATTTTCTAATCGCTGGCGATATGGAATGGGTTTTGGCTGTAAAAAAAAATAAAAAAAAAAAAAAATACAATAACATAAATATTTCACAGAATATTTATGCCAAATATGGTCTACCTTTTCCGGTGAGTAAGCATAAATTGCAACCTCAGCCAAGCTGCTCAGAATAGCAACTCTTGGAGCTGACACTGCATATAGTATTTGCAATTTTGTGACATAAATGTACACTGAGCCACTTGTAGTTGTCACTGCCAATAGTTGTCCGTCACCGGACCAATCTATCATTTGTACACCCGAATGATCTGGTATTGTTATAATTTTTTCCGTTTCATGCAAGTTAGTAATGGAATGAACTTTGATTCTATAAATTGAAAAAAAGTGAAGATTTTCATTACGGCTTAAAAGTATCTATAACTCACGTATTATCGCCACAAGACGCTACTATCTCCAGCATAGGACAATAAGCGAGACCGGTTAATAGTTCTTTATGATTCTTCACTTGCCATAATTCCTGGCCAATATCTTTAGGATGAGTGGAAATGGCTACAACATGTCCATTGGAAAAACCCAATAATATATAACCTTGACCAAACCATTTGTGCTGCAACAACGACCCATAACGGCTTTGGAATCCCAATTCGGTGGGAGATTCCGGTTCAGGCAGATAATATAAATATAAAGTGCGTTTACCGATTATCATACTAACGGCATTCTCACCTCCGAGCTGATCTTTATTATTCATTTCGGCAAAATACATATCGCTCGGCACATCGCGCAATTGCACGATGCGTACAGTATCGCCCTCTTCATTATTCAAAGAGAAAGTTTTGTCGTCCGACCCCAGAGCCAATAGATTTTGCGCGGACCAAGCACCGCAACTGATGCAAATATCACAAATTTATTTACGTAAAGAAAAATGTGAGCGTGTGTGTGTACATTTACGAATCAAATAATTGAATCAAATAGCTGAGTTTCACTGACCTGATGCGTTTAGAATGTTTGCCCAAAACTGGTATTCTTCTGCCCGAGCCATGGTTGTAAATTGCCAAATTGCCACGAGTAGTACCAACTGCCAGTAGCTTCTCCTGCTTAGACCAAAGTATGCAGGACAGAGGATCCTTGAGACCCGACTCTATCGTGCTTTGCTGTTGTGTTGCTACTTCCCACAACGTAATAAGGGGCGATGTGGCCGTAATAATACCTAATATGTCGCCATCATTATTCCAGGCAAAACCAGAGCAAAGGCTAATACATACAAAGAAAGAAGCTTTTTTTTTAGTGGATTTCTTTTGCTAAACTCATTACATATGGTACCTGGATAAAAGAATTCGTTCAATTAGTTCACCTTCACGGCTATATAAAGCTACTGTTCCATCGGAGCCGGTAGTGGCCAGTAAAGAACCGGTCTCTCCTTTTTGCCAAATAAAATATACGTCGCCTGTCCCGTGTGGTTCTTCATATTTGTAAAGAACCTTTTCAAAGGTCATTTCCGCCTAAAACTACTTTTCGAAATTATCCCTCTACAGTATTTTACGTCGATCTTCTTTCACAGTTTAATGTTTATCATATTTCAATAATAATAATAATAATAGGCAGCGCAATCATATTTCCTTAAATTTAGAGAAATTTCCTTCCGTATGCGTCTGTTTTCTTTTTTTTTCACCTCATTTGTTTTGTTCACACTTTTGTTATGGTTTAGATTGTTGCCATAACAATCGTTGTTGCAAAAAATGGGTATTTTTTCCCCCCAAATTGCTCTTTCGCGTAGTCGGCTTTTATGTATGCGCATCTTCGCATTAATTTCAACGAATTTTTGATTTTTGCGTAGCCTTCGCGAATTTCCTTTTTAGTTGTAATAAAGTCACCATTCATATGAACCAACTTTCCATTCCACGGCTGTAACTATACATCTGCAGGAAATCATTTTTGTTATTCCTTGTTCATACGCCTACTCTATCTTTCCTTCTTCTTTTTTAGAGACCATATTTTCAACGCAATAATACTCATCACCGAGGTGGAATTCACTCATTAATATTTACAATGATATCGACGTGGCATGAATTAATCAAGTTTCGCAGGAGTGTTTATGAATCCCGCCACCGTTGGATCGGAGCACTGTACAGTGTCCGGCGTAATTATATGCTCGCCAAACACTTGGTGTCTGATTTTGCAGATGACCTCATATTCACATAGAATATGATGGGACTCTGCATGAATCGGTATCAAACATATCCCTGTTGTTCAGATTGTACCCGTGTAGAAGCCGGTGACTAAACGTAAGTCATTTCTTCTTTTTGCCTGCCGTTGTCCTGCAATTGACAAATCGCCCAAATCTGTGCCCATTGCGATACCAGCCTGACAATGTGGCTTCTCAGTACGCCATAGAACTGTTCGGGACATACCACGGCCCCTCAGACTTCCCTGTTAACTAAGCAGTATCTTACATGGTATACTTCTATATATCCTTTCCAGACTTTTCCGAAAGTTTTTCATTGTTCTATTTACAAATTTAATATTTGCGAAAATTTCCGTATCGTGCCCAGCTTGGAGGTTCGCGATCATTTGGTTCACTGAATGTTTCACAAGCATTCAAAAAGTATGATAAATCACCATAACGAGCACTTTCCAAAGGGGAGCAATTTTTTCAATAACTTTCTTTTATTTTGTTAATTCGAACAATTTCAACAATGGTATTAAATTGACATTCTTAGCCAAAGACACAAATTCAAAATTTTCTCTTGGGTTTCATTTTTGATTCCATTCACATACATCATTTTTGATAGTCAAGCCAATTCTTTCCGTTACATTTACATTATCTTTCAAGTATATATCCATTGAATTCTTCTCCTTGCGCATCGGAATGCAACTTAGGATTAGATTGATTTAGCCGGTTAGGCTTCTGACTACAAATGCCGCAATTCTATTGAACAAATTTTACTATACTGTTGGTTGGAGTCTTGTTAAGATATAATTATCATATTTTTTATAATCCTGCACTCTACCAACTAAAGGTCTCAGATAGACTGTACTCCTCATTTATCCCTAATTTTAAAGCGTTTAGTGGACGGCAATTGGGCAAAACAGGGATAGGCGATAAATTGAATTTTAGTTGTTCTCTCATAAATCTGGAATATTCATCAGATGAAAATAATATACATATATATAATATATATATGTAACTCTTTTCGCCCTATGTATCCTTTTTCAGTTTTCTTTTCACGAAAATCGTTTGCGCAGAAATCTGATTTATTGAGATCCTTTCTTCTCACGTGAACAGTCTCTCTTTTTTTTCGTTACATATGAAGCTCCCAAAAGAAAGCCTCAGACATCATAAAAAGTACATATATTTTTGATCAGCATGAAATTCTGAATTTATTTAGCCAGGTCTGTCCGTCTATATGCCTATGTTGTGTGTCTCTCCTGGTCGCAAAAATAAAGATATCGACTTTAAATTTGGTAGAAATATTGGAGGTCTTTGCACGCAGATTACTATTGAAAATGGCGCTAATTGATCCGAGTAGAAGCCCGCAGTGGTGGGTAAACTGAACGCAACTCCGTTTTTCTTAACAAAAATTTGTGGGCTTTTGCTTGTTAGGAGGCTGAAATTTTCCACATACATGTTGCGAAACATTCTACACTCTAGGTCCAAAAATGGAAAAAATCGGTCATGACCACACAAAGTTGCAAGCGATTTAATTATCTTTTTCCTCAACTTTTTTGAGGTTTAATGCTTATTTATCATAAGGCAAACAGACAGAATGTTTGAAACTATTTTGTACATTCTTCAAATGAAGATATGTTATCTGCGTAAAAATGGGTTCATTCTGAAATGAATATTTTACACACCGCAATTAATTCTGTCTCAATAATACCAGCGATATGGGTATCAAATAAAGGAAAGGAACGGAACTTGGAGAGTAGAAGGCGAAAAGCATGGTTGTGGCTATACGAGAATGCCATGCCTTCTTACTTGCTTTAATCTTAACATTTCGACGGAAGATTGAAGTAAATTAAATTTTCAGTTTTATTTTATTAATTAATTTATGAATTTATGAACATGTCTTTCTCGTAGACAATTCATACAACTGGCAACGGTATGAACAGTAAATAAAGAACAATTATTTAATTTAAATTAAAGTTTTTATTAATCTGTTGAATAGCAGTTAGATCTACGCCCTTAATTTCCTTGAGCGAATCAATGATTTCGATTAAAGCTGCAAAGAAAAAAATCACATAGAAAGTGTATTTTATAAAGAATTTTTCCTAACCGACCTTTACGTTCATCGTTCGACATTAGTAAGGATAATATTGATGTTTGCTTGTTTTTGCTGATTTCCAAAAGAGTAAGTGCTGTCAACGGGTCCTTGAAATTAAGAAACGAAAAGAAAAAGGCAAAATGGTTGAAAAATTACACACAAAAATTCTTATTCTAAACAAATTCACAGTCGTTTTTTTCAATGCAACAGCTCTTAACAAGTACAGACTAACTTTTTGAATTATTTTCAATTGTAAGCAAATAAACAAAATACCTTTTGCGGCAAATAATAGTCGTGAAGTGTACGAATGACCTCATTTAAGATTTCAGAGTCGAATCCTGCACCCAAAATCTTAGTTAATTGTTTTAACGGTATGGACTGTATAATATGAGAAAAACTTAGTAAAGCGAAGTTAAAATGTATCATTTAAATACCTTTAAAAAGGGATATTTTTGACTGTCTGTTAATTCTTTCCAGTGACAATAAAACTGAGCGGTAGTTGTAGGTACGGGCGGTAAAGGACGCTGGAAATTATACATATTACATAAGTATATTGAATATTGTCCCACTTTGTATACCTTTTCTTTTCTCTCAATTTCTGTTTCATTAGACGTTTGATCGAGTTGTTCGTTTTCCCTGTTCTTTCCTTTCTTCTCTTTAGTTAATTTTTCCATTTCTTTTTTTGGTTTTGACGTTTGATTCAATTTTGACTTCTGTTGTTTAAACTCTTGTTTAACTTGCTGGATTTGTTTAGTATCTTGAATATCAGCAGCTTTATGAGATGTATCTATAGTATAAGAGGTCTTTTTAATCTCTTCAAATGCTCCGCAATTGCTATTGAACAGCTTATCGATATCTTCATCAGAGATTTTTAAATTTTCATAATTTTTGCTATCCTTCGGTCCTACTACATCAGTTATCTCTATGCGTTTTAAAGATTTGCTTGATCGTCTATAGGAAGGCTTGTCTACAGGCAGTATATCAATGACATTTGAGAGCAATGGACTAAAGTTGGGTCCATTCGAAGTTTTCACTAAAAGTGCAATTAAAAATTACGTCAATGTCTAAAGTGGAATTTTGTTAAATTAATTACCAGTTTTACGCAAGCGTTCATTAATACGTTCTAGACTGCGTTTAGCTTCTCCATTTTTAGGATCAATTGTTAGGAGACTAGTGCAGTCCTTAAGAGCGTCCATATTATTGCCTAATGATTCATGGGCTGACATACGTCTGTAGTAGGCTTTCACAGCCAAATTATCTAATCCTATGGCATGATCACAATCTTCTATACATTCATCGTATCTATGGCGAATAACAACATGGCGGCAATAATAAACCAAGTTATATTTTTTTTTCAATTTGACGTTACCTTTCCAATTTTAAATAGCACAAAGCACGATTAGTAAAGAAAATCGCATCCATCGGATACAAGTTAATGGCTTTTGTATAAGCTTCAATAGCCAATTGATATTCGCCTAATTTGACATGCTTGTTGCCTTTATCTTTAATTTCATTGGCTTCCTTAAGTTTTAACGGAATCTCACGTTTTTCTGCGGATAAGACATCCACTACAGTTTGGCGCGTATTTACTGCTGGTGAGGGTGATGAGTGTAAATGGTCTCTAACTGTATGGCTGCGTATTGGCAGGGTTTTGAGAGCCTTTTAAGGGATCATCTCCTCTATTATTTATCTTTTATATTTAAATATTCTATCAAACTTACCCTTCCATCCGTTGAGCTTTCCTCTTCACCTGTTGCCTGTGCTAGCATTTGTTTTTCCTTCTCCTTGATTTCCTTTTCCCATGAAAGTAAATCATTTATGGAATTTCTATGTTCCTCAGCATTGTTTCGCACTTGTGTCTGAATTTCATATGATTTACGAGCGGCATCCATTTTCTCTCAATTAAATCCTGTTATAACTGTAAGTTTGTAATGTGGTTTTAAGAATTTTTTCTTGCTGCAATAGTACCTTTATGATGCTTGTTTTCTGATAGAAATTTCTACAAAATTTTTTATTGCTTTGCAACCTCAGAAAAGAATATTCTGTTGTCAAAATAAAATGTTTTTTTTTCTTCCTCTTCTTCTTACTTCGACTCTTCGCTCGCTCATCGGATATTGATAGCGTTAGTAAATGTGACAAAAATAGGTGAGAGTCATTTTACATTTTAAACGAATATTTTAAGATAAATATATAACTATGTATATGTATATATAAGGTTTCCTGTATAAAAGATAAATTTACTTAGAGATCAAATCAGTTATATTAAAGTTTTATTGAAATAAAATCAAATGTTACCAGAATCATGATTTTTCAATGGCATTTAGAGGCAGATTTAGGACACAAACCAGCAGAAGTCATATCAGAAAATTGCTTTGTTAGTTTAGCTTGTGCGGAAATCATGCAAATCATTTTAATAAAGTACAGAGAGAGAACTTTGCAGTCAAGCAAAAAAAAAAAAACAATAACTACAGCTATCTGAAGAATATTGCAGAGACACCTTACAAGATATTTTTATAAAAACAAACCAAGGAAGGGATATTTCATTTGTTGTCAAAACATTTGCAATACGTTCAGAGGTTTCATAAAGTATGCGTATGCTTCCGACTGTTCGCCTGGTCGTCTGTCTGTCTGCGTAACTTCTGTGCTAAACATTCTTCTGTTCGTAAAATTGCCACTGTCGGCTTCAAATTTGGCGGAAAGATTGGAAGTTCTTGCAATAAGGTTGACATTGAAAATGGGATAAACCGATGAGAGGACACACCCACAGTACACCGAAGGTAACTTGATGCTACGTCAAAACTAAAGCAGACACAACGACGACAATATGATGAGAAAAGTGGAAAAAATCAACCACACTTACTCATTAGTAAGTCAGTCTATGAAAATTTATGTCGTAAATATTTTCCTGATCGCAAAGGTTAAGATATAGGCTTCAAATTTTACGAAAACATTGGAAGGGCCTGCAGGTTAGTATCCAACATCGACAAATTCGTTCAAGGCACACGCTGATGGCAGGACGTAAACTGAGAACGCTTTTCTTTTTCGAAAGTAAAAGCATTGAGTTTTTGTTCATTACTCATATTCTAAGCTAGATACAGTGATGAAAATTTCCACGCCGATTTTCTGGTCCAGGCCGATTCGACATTTTAGATTATCGAAAATTGTTTTTTTTTTGTATTTCTTGGTGGTGAGTACAAAGATTCGGTCACAACCGAATATAATTGTCTTAGTTATTTTCATAACGTTAGAGTATGATTGTGAGTGTGTATAAAGTATTTGTCACCAAATAGTGTAAGTGGTGGCGTCTAATCTTTTCAAATCAAAGTCACTTTTATGTCATGATCCGTGACGTATGTAAGCTTATGCATGAGTTTGCATCTGTTTGTATATCTAAGTTTTCTTTCTTGCTTATTTTTACTTTCTCTGCTTACTCTCTTACTTTCCACTGTGTTGTTCCTCTAAGAGAGCAACAACAATAAATGACTTTCAACTTCCGCTTTTGCTTACTTATGTATGAAAACTTAGTGTAGGAGAGAAAGTGCAACAACAGAGGCTTCCTTTACTTTTAGACAGTTTATGTGCTTATGTATGCATATAGCCCTGTGGGCTATTCATAATTTATAACAGTATCTTTTTTATTTATTTTCGAGTTGTGTTTGTTTTTTACTTCTTCGCTCTGCTTTCGTGCCTTTGAAGCTGTTCTTTGAAAAGGTGCAGCAACGGCACCCAATGCAGATTGCATAGAATGTCAGAAATTTATAAACATTTGCTTTTTTTTTTTTTGTTAAATATAGTTTTGGCTTAAGATGTTTTTTTTCTTTTTGCATTCAAAAATTATTTCTTTTTTTTTCTCCTCTTTTTGTTGGTAATCGTCGTATAGAAAAAGTGTTTTGCAAACTATTTTACCCGTCGACGTCGAGAAGAAACCTTTATCTGAATTAATTCATAACATCTCAGTGCACCGCTGTGACCGGTCACTTGTCACAGAAGAAAATAATGTTGTTCCGCCTGAGTGGCTGTATAAGTAAGAGCCGCGACTACTAAGCCAGTGTTCACAGACTTCATTCTCAAATGTGGTAGAGCTTTTGCACCCATCACCGAAGGATGAACGACACAGAATGTATATATATTGTTGATCAGTATCAAATTCTAAATCGAATTAAGCATGTCCGTATGTCCATCTGTCCGTATGTCCCTCTGTGTAATATCTGTCTGAATTCATCCGTACAACAAAAGGTGAGCCTTTTTCTAGTTGTTCCGGAGGGTACACCGCGCAGATTTAATATACCTTATATATGTATAATAATGTGTAATAAACCCGCAAATGTCGAAAAGGTCAAATTTTTAATATTTTATGATCAAAATTGGTTCGTCAAAATAAATTGATGTAAAACATAACTGCATCCAATTTGGATCAAGTATTGTTATATTGTTTTGCACACTAACTTATATAAGAATTCTCATCAACAACAAGTAAGAATGCTATAGTAGGGCAAGGCCGACGATTAGATATGCTACACCGCTTCATCTATTACTGTTATTTACTCATTTTGGTAATAATGCACAGTATGAAAATGCATGCTTTTCATGAAAGTCCTCATATTGGAGCGATATCACAAACATTACATTTTGTTTTCACTTAATGACGAAAAAAAATTCCCATCCTTCCTTAAGCGGAAACAGGTTATTGTATTAAATTTGATCAAAATGGCTTGAAAATTGCAACAGGTATCGGATGGACGGACGGACAGATAATCTTAAGTCGGGCCACAAAATCATTCCGAATTCATCGGTACAACAAAAGATGAGTCTATCCCAAGTCGTTCTGAAGGGATAATATACCTTGCACCACAAGTGCTGTATGATAATAATCTCCTAAGTGTCAAAAAGGTCCTAGCTTTTAATATACTTCGATTAAAATTAGTCCACAGTAAATAAATTCTAGGGAAATTTTTAGACCCCATCATAAGTGGGAGTCCGCATGAAAAGGAAGCTCTTTTACGGTTACAAAGTTTAATATGCAGTTTCTTCTGATGGAACCAACTGAAATATAATAAAATTTTTGACAATTAAATTAAGTTGGGTTAGTTGAAGTTTTGACTAACGTCCAATAAGAGGGCTTTCATGAGAACTATGTTTTTACATAGAAATAATGTACAATTTTTGATGTGTTAACGCGGAAATAACGAAATAAGCGTATCAAGGAAAGTGGTGTAGCGCAGGCAGAAATCGACTTTACCCAACTTGGTATTGAGGACAGAATTCATGTGCGAGTTGAGTAATTGCCAAAATTTTGCACTTGTACAACACTTATTACTTACGGTCACGTTGCCTTAATAAAGCATAAGGCTACGTTGTTCTAATCAAAGTTCTGGAATAACGTAGTGAATAGATTCTATAGAAAGTTAGTCTGTAGTGTGTTACAAGCACTTGCTGTAGATTGAAATAAATGCTTTCTGTCGGTATTTTTGCCTTATCGAAATTGTATTGAAACATATGTCTACGGTATATGAGAGAAAGATGAAGCGAAGAACGCGTATTACTGCAGGATACAACATATATATATGGCCGATATTTTCATGCCAGTTTTTTTTATGGAATCTCCATACATATCGTGGGACGATAAGCGACAATCTTATGAGAAAGTTAGCGTAACGCAATGACAACGCTTTGAAAATGCTATAAGGACGCTAGTAAAAGAAAGTGATAGTAAATGTACGTGGTCTCAGTTGGTGGTTGGTGGTAACAAGGCGGATAGTTTGCTCAACTGGAAATCTTAATTGAGGTCTGAGAATTTCAATTAAAAGAATTAGGTATAAACATAGAGTAGCAGTAGAAAGTAGAAACGGTTTTTGTTGTAACCTTGATCCAAAAAGTGTACGCTCCGAATAGATATAGGTGCAGGTAAAAGAATAAGCATCGCGTTTAGGTTTTACCTTCCACAACTAACTTAATCCAAATTTTAGAAAAGACGTCTGAATGGATTCGATAAAGTCAATGTATACCTTAAAGTTTGGTGACCATACAATAATAACATATCCAAGAAGAGGTCTTACTGATGCAACCTACTTAGTAATATACGGATCAATAATTTCTTTAAAGAGACTTAGGCTTATTTGCCACAGACAGAATCTGTAAATGAAAGTTTATTTTTCGATCTATAAGAACTCTTCCAAATCATCGAAGAACGTAACAATATCTCTAGCCTGTGGCAGTACATAAGATAGCGGGATAGACCTAGAAAGAGAGACCTTTTTACTCTTGCTCAGGTTTAAGGGCATAAAGACTACGTTTACATCGATTAGATAACTCAATGAAATTTGCTGAGAGTAGGATATTTTGGATGCGAAGCCAGCTCATTAAGAACCAATAAGGTGGCTACCTTCAAGCGCCCCCAATATAACATCAATAGTGCGTGAGACATAACCGTCAAAAAGGATATATTGAGTGCCCGTCGCAAAGTACTGTCCGATCAATGCAATCAATTTAAAGTGTATTCTTATACGGCTTAACTTACAGAGGAGGAGAGAATGATGCACTCCCTCAAAGGCCTTTGAAAGATTAGGGTAAACGACATCAGTTTGCCACCTTGCAGAAAAAGCCTGAAACGTCCTGCCAAGCAATTTTGTGCTTAAACAGTTTAGATATAATATTAAGCTGTGCCACTCCTCCGTAACTAATTATATGATTTCCAAGGCCTTTAAAGGTCGGCGTGGATGAGATCTGTTTGTTTCCTTGCCGAAGGAGCCTGAAAAGCCCTGCCAAGCACCTCTAAGCTCAAACAGTTTAGGTATAATATTAAGCTTTGCCAGAGCTTCTGATTATAAGATTCCTAGGACTACACTGGTGAAGTGGCAATATCAAAGCTTGCTTTTAAAATTCCGGGAGCTTACTTTTCCCAAGATAGTGATTAAGAATAGCAGGTAAGGAGGGCAGCGCGGAGACGAACAACACGCGACGGTACACCGTCAGGACTAGGATAATAAGTAGATTTCAATGAAAAAAAAAACATGGCGGCATCGATCCTGGATTAAAAACTTATGAAATTCTTATGCTCTTGAGAAGCTATAATAACATACTAGCAGGGCATACTGC